TCATAAAATTATGATTTCTCATGAATTTTGCATTTTTTTCCATCAAACAAGATGAATACGCATCTATATTAGAAGTTAATGGCCTACAAATTTAACCTTATGTGTGTGATTTTGTGCTTATCATCCTAGATCTACATTAATTCTATATCCTAAAGCATCTTGCATCCCTCTCTCTCTACCTCCTCTAGATTATCCATTTAATTTAACTTATTTTATCTAGTTAGTTCTGCAGTGTTTGAATGAACTTTACCAGATGAATGTTGAAGGTTTCTCATGGCACTTTACAAAATAAGTTATACATTGTACACCTTTTCTTATGTAACATCCTCACTTTTTATGCCTATATCTATCATCAATAGGAAACCTTAATTAATTTTATTATATAATTTTTATAAATCTAATGATATTTTTTATAAAAAAGATACCTTATGTAATTTTGAACAAATATCATTGGTTGCAATCACTTGTTCTACGGATTTGTTATAAATAATTCCATTTTTTGTTGATTCCATTTTCTTTCAACAAAATAGAAAAAGATTCAAAAAATGAATCCCAAAGGAATTGAATGTGTTCCGCATGATTTTTATTGTTCATACTTTCTCTTTATAGCTCCCTCAAGTTTGTGCCTAATATGTGTCCATATTGTATTGCTAAAATTATTATTCTTCTATTTCCATTGATGGTCCTGAACTCATACGTTGAATAAAATATTTGTTTATTCTTCTTTGAAAATATTATATTTTTATTTATGTGATTGTGTCACTGCACGTTCACTTTCAAATGTGAAGCCATCACCAAATATGTTGTTGTTCCCGTCCATTTATTATATCAACAATATAAAATATTTCTTGTTAAAAGGAACCTAATGGAAAAAATTAGCTACAACAATACATGCTTTTTTTTTTTTTTTGGAAATTTAGAATGAGAAGAGAGGAGAGTAAAAATAGGAGATTTTATAATTGAATTTAATTCTCTTGTGTCGTGTCAAAATAACATAGAAAGATGTACATAAAAATAGGTGGAGAAACAACTATCAAAGAAAGAAACAACTATCTGAAATCAAGCCTTTAATTATGGAATCCTGAATTAATTATAAACCATAAATTGAATGCTTGTATTTATGGATTACTACATTGTTTTAGATGGGAAAAAATGCTATCCACGGATTACTAGGTTGTTGTAGATCGAAAAGAATTGGCCATTGATTCAAGGTTATTTTGGCACTCCCTTTAAGCTGTATTTATGAATTTTTGCTAGAATTGAGAAGAGAAGTCATGTTTTGCAAACACTTAACAAGATTTTCCATTAGCGATTAAATATAACCTTCGGAGGCTGATTAAAGTATTGTGTATTAGCTCGTCCCTTGAAAATTTGTGGAAGCTCACTCCTTACATACTTTGAAATTTACGTCCTATAAGATCTCAAATTATCTTGCAAGCCAGGGTATGCATATGTGAGCGAGGCTTCTTCAGTTATTAAAGGTTTCACTGTGCTATGATGTGTAATACTTTATTATTTGAAGAGTAGTGGAGGGTAAATAAGTCTCAACATTTTGCGGAAATTGGAATTTCTAGGAAGCAAGCAGCATGTGCTTTAGACCCCAACACATCTGCAATGTTGTAGTGATTTGAGAAATCACTCAAGTCAAGCCTTATGAAACGGAGTCATAAGATTTGTTCATAAGCTGCAAATCTTTTCCATTTTGCATTGAGTTTAAGTATTATATCCTAACCTTTGATATCTCTACATTTCTCCCATAATAAGAAAGTTGAATAATTAGGTTAAAATTGAAGATTTAAATTGTTGATTCATTTGCTTCAATCATATTGATTTCAGTTTGTAGCAATGACCTTCCCACTTGGATTTTGGGCATGAATGAGCACGAGCAAGCATTTTGATGCTTCAATTAAGAATAGAGGCCATGACAGAAATGTGTCAAACAAGGATTTTCGGTATGATGGGACTGGAAAAACGTTTTGGAGGTTGATTGAAAACCATTGTTTAACACCCATTGAAGATTGTGTTGTAGCCCACTCGCCTCACTGAGCTTAGTAATCACCCTTGCCAGAGATCTAAGATTACTCTACTGAGGTAAATTGCAAGTGAACATCTTTGACTGATGGTTTCATAGGATTTTGAAATAATTTTAGAGTTTGTGGAGGGTAAATTTTTCCATGTTACGAAAGGTAGGTCCATGTTGGTGCAATAGGTAATATAAAGAATGACCTTGGTCTAGATGTTCTAGGAAGCTGATCTGATTCACGAGTCCTAAACTTCAGCCATGGTTTAAAATTGCGCAATATGAGGCTCGCCTTTGCGCAATTCCAGTAAAAAACGCCTCGATGCTTACGCCTCGAGTTTTTTTTATGAGGCTTGCGCCTCAACTTTGTTGAGGCCCGCTTCGCCTCACTGGCATGAGGCTTACGCCTCACGCTATATATATTAAAACTTAAATAAATCTTGAAGTAAATGCCCGACATTGGACTCTATAGGAGAGGAGGAAGGGGAGAGATAGTTCATCATAATGATGATTCAAATGAAGAACCCCTTAGTGATGTCAGTGCTGATGACTTATGAGTTCTTATATGATATGTCATTGCTATTTGTTTTTGGAAATTGAAATTATATTTTAATGAAAATAATACTGAGATTTGGGAAAGATAGAATTTTGAGTTGAACTATATTTCATGTTGTCTTATTATTGGGATATTTTCATTTCACTTCATATCTTATGCTTTTTTATGTTTTATATTATTCATTCATTAGTATATAAAAAAATTATCATTTTATGTTTACGCAATCTTTTGATTTTGAGGCTTACGCCTCAAAACGCCTTGAGGCTTACGCCTCGCCTCACGAATGAAAAACGCCTCAATACTCGAATACGCAATTTTAAACATTGACTTCAGCTTACGTACTATATGGGCGGAACTTTTGGGTCGTCTTGTAGGCCGAGACCTACCAAATGGGCTCATAAGCTCTGTTTATAAGCACCATAGTTTGTATCTTTTGCATTTTGTAATGATTGTCTAAACATTCCATCTTTCCACAATTTTTTCATAACGCAAAATGAAACTTAGATCTTACAATTAAGACCATTACATACTGTTTTTAATTTGCTATAACAAAACTTATTAGTATATTTTGGCACTGTTATGCATCTGCCTATTATTTCATTTTATGGCAAACAAAATAAATGTTCTCTCTGATAATATTTACTCATAATGTATTTCAACAAATTATTTGGTGTATGAATTTGACTTCTTAAAGTATAATACATATGATATTCTGAAATTTGTACTTTGTGAGTAGAAAGTAAACAAATATTGAGATTTGATATGCTTTTTTAATCTATGTAATAACCACCTGTTGTAAGTGCTGATTTTTAAGGTGTGCTAAACCTCTTAAATCTTAATCCATTGTGTCTGCTAAACCTCTTATCCATTGTGTCCGTGATAGCGAGTTGAATTGCCTTGGCTCCTGGTGGCATGAAAATCTTTAGATTATTATGTTGAATAGTTTGCACATAGAGTATGAGGGTAATTAAGTGATTATAAAACATAGTCTTGTGCATGTTTTTTGATCTTTGATCTACTGTCCAGGGCAGCTCAAAAGGTTTTTATTCTTATTTTGGCGAAGAATTACTTTTACTAAGAAAGATGCTTGAAATTGTGATTGTCATTGTGGATATATTTGAAGTTGCAATGAAGTGAGAAGAAATAATTAGTTTATGTAATTGATTCAGCTAAAGATTAGGGTCCTTGGTAATCGATTATTATTCAAGATATGTTTAAAAGATCATGTGAGAGAAAAGTACTATTCTCTTAGGAACAGATCCTGCTTGGTGTAGTGACCCTGTTGAGGTGGTCGACAGACTTGGTGAGGGTCCTAGGGGTGGAATGATAAGTGGGGGGAGGCTAGGATTGAGTGGTTTAAAGTGGATGGTGGCTAAGTACCAAGCCCCACGTAATTTTAGTTTGAAATATTATGGAGCTGTCAAGAGGATGTCGAAGGGTGTGAATAATTTTGGAGGACTAGGGTCTTGTTTGGATATGTAATTTTGGTGTTGATGTGGTAGTGGCTTGAATTTTAGGGCGTTTGGAGTTTGTATTCCCAATAATAGGTTTAAGAAGGATTAGCTGACCGAGAGTTCCTTGTTTGTCTTCCAATTTTTTGCATGGGCAGTAGAGGCTTGGGAAGGGTGTAGATGACCTGTTGGAGGAGTGGGGGAAAATGAGAATGGCTTCCTTCGACATTGGAAGTGGGAGGTAAAGTTGGAGGAAGAGGATAAGTAGCTTACCCACAAAAGTGAAGCCATGGGTTTGACCGCTAAGCCAAAAAGCAAGAAGAATAAGTCTCCAATTTTTTTTGAATCCATGAGAAACTTCTTCATTTCAGAATTTAGGAGTTTTTAAAGCCTTTAGAATGTTCTTTCCATCCCAAAAATCAAGATGGGGAAGAGGGAGAGAGGGGAGTGGGGGGCAAATTTTGTAAGGTTCCATTGATTGGATGAGTGACTGGTCACTCCATTCCATCAAGGAAAATGAATAACGTTATGCTACAACACTCCTAATTCAATTTGATAAATTTTCAAAAACATTAACTTTTGAAAATCTATCAATTGAAATCAATTACTACTAAATTGCTAACTCAAAATGTTGTCATTGCCAAATTATGTTCTTGGGCTGCTCTTTGGGCTTTCTTTAGCTTGTGCTCCTGTAAGTGGGGCCTTGTTCTTTTTCCATGACATTCTCGTTGCACCTTTTCATGATCTTCCAGATGTGCCACATCACTACTCCAATGTTTTATGTGCAAAATAGCGAGTAGGTTTGTATGCTTGTGTAAAAAATCTAATCTTTCTGTTGTGGATGAAAGAATCTCATGTCTGCTTTATTGAAAGGAGCACGTAAATCTTAGTGTTTGCTTTGTATTAGTTTAGTTCATCACATATGCTTTGACCATTTTTTCCCTGAATCCATGATCTTCCAATGGGTTCATAGATGCCATAACTGGAGCTCCTGGTCAAGAAGCTCAAGTCTTTATGCCACGAGATGAACATGCTAGAATACAAGCCATGAAGGACACCAGAATACTAGGAACTTCATATGATCACTATCTTCAGAATGCAGTCAGTATACAGTCTTCACCGAACTTTCTTATAGCTCTATTGTTCCGAATACATTATTTTTTTAATTTTGATTGCCTGACTCCAACTTGTGCAGCAACAGTTATCATCTTATGGTTCTGCTCAAGCTGGTGATGCAGGTTTGGGTAGATCTGTCGGTGGAGAAGTGTATGGATTCAGAGGAGGAAATGCAAGCCTTTCTTACCAGGACCCAGTCATCTTAACTGGTCCTGGTTTCAGGTCCTTGGGACCCCAAGACATGGTGGCAAATAGTAGTTTGCCTGCGGGTTTTCGCAGCCATGTCCCTGTTGATCCTATGGTTAGGCCAGTTCTTCCTGAAAGAGAGATCCCACTGCCACATGATGCTTCAAATACTTTGTTTGTTGAAGGGCTTCCCCGTGACGCAACAGAGAGGGAAATAGCACGTATCCATGAGAATTTTTTTTTAAAATCTTGCTCGATGATTGGTTCTTGGATGATGTATTAGTAGATTTGTTTCCTTTATTATTGACAAAGATATTTTTCGCCCCTTTCGGGGATACAAGGAAGTTCGGGTAGTGAAGAAAGAACCAAAATATGTAAATGCTTCTTTACATCGAGATCTTTCTGAATCAAGTTTCTTACTGTTTTAAACTTTTATTAGTGTCTTTGATGCTTCGCAGGATGGTGGATACCCCGCTCTTCTCTGTTTTGTGGATTTCACTACTCCATCATTTGCCATGACTGCTATGAATGCTGTGGAAGGTTATTTTCCTGCTTAATTTCAAATTATGTTATTTAAGAAGGCTTTATTTAGTATCACACCAAGTTGTGCTCTTTGCTCAATATATATATTTTAAATTAGGGAGATTTACATACATATCATTTTATTTTATGCTATTTACATATCTAACACTCAAAACATTAATATTACATGCCTATCACCCACAGAATAAATTTGGAATTTTGGATGCATGAAATGAAATATTAAATTTTATAAGATGATATGAATGGTAGAAATGAATTATAGTAGAATATTTGATATTAAAGTTGTATATGAGTGGTAGACAAGTAATATTATTATTTTTGGTGTTAGATATGTAAATAACATGAAATAAAGTGATATGTATGTAAATTTCCCTTTTATTTTATGCTATTTACATATCTAACATCAAAACATTAATATTACATGCCTACCACCCATAGAATAAATTTTGGATGTATGGAATGAAATATTAAAGTTTATAAGATGGTATGAATGGTTGAAATGAATTATAGGACTGATATATTTGATATTAAAGTTGTATATGAGTGGTAGAAATGTAATATTAATATTTTGGGTGTTATTAGATATGCAAATAACATGAAATAAAGTGGTATGTATGCTACATATGGATTTAAATGATCTTTCTTTATTAAATTTAAATGTGAATTTGACTTTTAACATGACACAATGGTGAAAAGGATTCATGTAGCCGACCCCACGTAGTGGGACAAAGGCTTTTTGTTGTACAGTTACATCTGGTTGACATTATCATATAACATTACCGTCGTCTTTATGACACTGGTTCTATTGGATTTGCTAGTTGTAACCTTATCAGAAACCCAATACTGGAACTTCTGGTTCTTCTTATTTGTTCTAATGCTAGTTTGTGACTTCCTTTTAATGTTGTCCATTAAAAGAGATGCATAATACTAAGTTAAGTGTGGTAGAGATGATGATGCTCAAGTGGATGAGTGGCTTTACCCTTAGAGATAGGATACGAAATGAGCATATACATGAAAGGATTGGAGTAGCTCCAGTAGAAGATAAGATTAGAGAGAGTCATCTTAGATGGTTTGGTCACATAAAATGTTGGCCTTCCGATGACCCGGTTAGGAGAGTAGAGGTATTAGATTTGACTTATGTTAAGAAAGGTAGAGGCAGACCTAAAAAGACTTGATTAGAAAATATTAGGAATGATCTTTCTTTATTAGATTTAAACGAAAAATTGACTTTAAAAAGGACACAATGGAGGAAAAGGAGACCCCACGTAGTGGGATAAAGGCTTGATATTATTGTTGTTGCTAGTTTGTGACTTCCTGTATTTCAATTTTATTCTTTGAGGAATCTGTAACTATACGCAAGCTTACAAATTTCCAATTTTTGAATCGAGTAGGATACAAGATGGACCTTCACGACCCAGACTCATGGGCTCTGCGTCTGCAGTTTGCGAAGTTCCCTGGTCGGAGACCTGGCCATGGCTTCCATGGCAGGAGATAGACGAGATCAACCTTTTGTTACAGCTACCCTTTTTTCTTTTCCTTGAAGCTGCAGCTGTACCCTTTCCAATTGATGAGCGAAGCAGAGTGCCTGCTTCTAAGGGATATTTTAGCAGTTCGTAATCTTTAGCACTTGTAGTTTGTGATGGACCATTTTTATTCCAGGGGATGTGTTCACTCGCTGTGTTTTAATTTGAACTGTTAGCTGAAGTGTTTTATTTAATGATTTGGTCGGAACTTCCTAACTAAACTATATCAAATCACTGCCAATTTACCCTGCAAACTGTAACTTCGGCATCATAAGAAGTTCAACGCTAATCGCATGGTGCTAATGTGCTGAAAATAAATAGGTGCGGAGTCCGGATGTAGAGATATAATCGAACATCAACTTAAATTGTGATACTTAGAGTACGCTTTTGTTTCACTTTTATTTGTGCATTTTACCCGCGCTTTATCTATTTATTAGTTGCATTTTAATTGCGCTTTGATTATTCTTTTGTTGCATTTTTTTGCCGCGTTTTAACTATGCTTTACATGCATTTTACCGCGTTTTGACTGCGGTTGGCTTAAAGTTCCGTGGACACATTAAATATATAAAGTAAAAGATTAATCCAATTAAATATCCACATCCATTTAACGTGTTAACATTTTATCGAGTCGTATCTTTACATCCGGTGTCTGCGCCTAATAATTTCCCCTAATGTGTGGCCCAGGATATTTTGTTTTGAAGGGTTACCAGTAAATTACACTTGTTTTATATGGTTTTTGTTCTAACTTTTGAGATGCGAGGGTGTATTGAGCTCCAGTTCCATTGTGCCATATTAATGAATATTGGGTACTAATTTCCATGTCTATATGTGTTTTGGTATGGGCAGATGATTAATATTAGAGAGAATTCATCACCAAAAGAATATTTTGTGAAAAACATGGGAAAATAATATATAAATATGATGGAGATGATCTAACATAGTGATGTAAACAAGTCGAGTTGAGCTGATCATTTTCGGATTGAGCTTGAGCTTGATTAATCAATTTTGTTTGAGCTCGAGTTTTATTCAATGAGTTCGAGTTTTCTTACGAACCAGTGTATGAGTTGGCTCATTTATTATGAAAGAGAATGAATATGATTTAAGAAATTATTAATATATTTAAGGATATTTTATATTAATATTTTTTAAACAAGCTGATTCGGGAGCTAAGAGGTGTGTGGATTAGCTCAAATTTGACTTAGGCTTCTGAGCTATCTATAGCGTTGTGGTTTGTACGCTCACGACTCAGTTTGATTCACTCCCTAAATCTAATTCATTCGCAGTTCATAAAAGTAAATATGAGGAATAAAAATATAAGATATAAGATAAAGCAACAAATAATGATTTCATCTTGCACAAACTCTGCAGGTTACATGAACAAATCTCTCTAATGCCTTTAAAAAAGAGCATACCTAGTTTGTCTAATGGTGATTTACCTAATTAAGTTGATTGGAGAAAGAATTTAAAAATGGAGTTGGGGGCGGGTACTGGAGTTCAGAGTATAACTTAAGATTAGGGGTGTCAATTTTTGAAACGACCCGAAACATGACCTGAATCAGACTCGAAAAAATCCGGGTTCTGGTTAACCCAAATCCGAAATGGGTCGGGTTCGGTTCAACAAATCAACCCGTTTTAAAAATCGGGTCGGGTTCCGGTTGACCTAGCAACCCGAAATTGACACGAAAACTCATTTTTGACCCGAAAACCCGAGATTGACCTGAAAACTAGCAATTTTGGGTCAACCCCGGGTCATTTGTGTCGGGTCGGGTTCGGGTCCAGAAACCTGACCTGTTTTTAAAAACGGGCCGGGTTCGGGTTGACCCGAGTAGTGCCGGGTCAGTTCCGGGTAGTTATTTATTAAGCCGAGCCCGAGCCGGCTTTACTCACTCCTCTCCAAATAATATCTCATTGTAGTTGGAAGTGGAAGAAGAGGAAGCATTACTGTTTATTAGAGAGATGGGAATCAAAGATGAGCAAGGTTGATCTTCTCATTTCATTATTGAGGAGCACTTATGTTTCGTTTGGGATGACTTTCTTACTGCTTTTTAAAACAGTTTTTTAGTACAAAACTTTTAACTTTTATAATAAAAAATTATTTTAAAAAGAAGTAAGAAAACTATCCCAAATGAAACCTCAACAAAATAAAAACATACAAATAAGGTAGCCTAGGTTGCTCTTTGAAGTTGGATAAGAGCGGAGTTGATTTGAGCTGAAAATTATTTTGGAATTCAATTTTTTTCAATGGATTGAAGGGAAATTATGGTAATTTAATTCACATCAGCTGCAATCACATATTGCCTATTTTGCATAATGTGTTGTTCAGATCATCTCCAGCCGTTCGGCAAACCATCAAACGGAGGCCCTCAAACGTCGCAACTGAACACCTTTTTCTCCGGCATTTGTTTGCTGATGAATAGTGCGACGCCAATATTGGCGCCGCATTGTTCACCGGCTAAATTTTTATGTGTCAACGGTATTTACTAGCGAAATGGAGAATGACAGTTACGACGAGGGAAGCCTGCAAATTGGAGTTCGATTGGAGCAGAATTACCGCATTTTAAAGTTTTGTTGTATTTTGCCCTAAAAAATGGTGTTTTAGGTTGGAGATGCCCTCAGTGTGGAATTTTCCTCAAAAAAGTTTTTGGCTCTACCATTGCTATTGATCTCAACATTCCCTTGAACTTGTTGTTAGCTAATTTCTATAGTTGACTTCATCCCGTAGCTGGATGTGCAATTTTCATGTGAGCACATACAAGATCTCTAATGTATCTCTGTTAAGATTGTTGATGACTATTATTAGCTATAATCACACTTTAACACTCCTATGAAGTTTTCTATCACTTAAGAAGATTTCCATCAACAGTGATAGACAATGGCAGCGCAATCTTAGTAGGATGACATTAATGAATCCTTCGCGTGATGATTTGCTTATATTTGAGTTTCCAAGTGATGAGCGATGACATAATAATTAGGTTATCGTTCAAAACCTTCAAATGTGATTCACAATCTTGAATATGTTAATGGGACATTCGTCGGAGAGAAATTATTACGTGGGCGGTTACTCAACCATCTGAAGGTCAATCAGGACGTGCCACATCATCCGATACACAGTAACGATAAACATTAAATTGGTGACGTGGTGCATCCTGATTGGCCTCCGAACAGCGTCCGCACATAATAATTTTGCTTCGATGGAAGACATGACTATCTAAACCACTACTATCGAAACACAAAATCATGGTGATATTGATGATTACTCTATTAAGACATGACATGTATATAAAATGCGAAATTATTATGTGCGATCATTGGATACCATTTGGTGGCCAACTAGGACGTGCCACATCACCATTATCCTGTTTAACGTTACTGTGTACCGTTGTATATCGGGTGATGTGACCCTTTTTGATTGGTCTCTGAACGATCTGGAGACTGCACGTAATAATCTCTCTTATCAAAGAGTCTTGGCCTTCATTATTTAACTTTCATGACACTCGGATCCAATAATTTTATCAACATAAGTGTTGGTCTACGACGAGTCTCTAAACTATAAGAGTTGTGAAAATTAGGTATGTTCATCACTTTTCTTCTTTATTTCATAACATCAATTCAATTCTTATGTTACTCAATCATATGAAGGTTTATTAAAATTAACTCAAAAAAATTGTGTTGTATGCTACTACTTGATCATATCATTAAGAACTTTTTTTTTGCCTAATTTTGTATGCTTTTCCATTAGTTGACTTAACATAAAAAATTATATATTTTCATAATAGATCTCTCTATAAAAAATCCAATTTATCCTCCAAAATTAATATTATTTTTTAATCTTAATCTTATGTTACATTACTCCCTCGTACCTTTAATCTCTCTATAGTTAACATAATTTTGAATATCATCTTTATCCTTAAATATTATTATCAAAACATTTCTTCTTCAATAATTTTGTATTTTCTTAACCTCAAAATTCTATTGAAATATATAACCCGTCCCAAACGAGAACTTTTATTACGTCCTCTGACCGGACGTAGTTTTACGTTCGGTCAGAGGATTGTTACTCAATTTTTGCTAGATATTTGTTCGGTATTGCTAGGTATTGTTTGGTAATAACGAAGAATATCGCTCTGGGAAGATCAATACCGAGTAATACCAAGCAATACCGAGTAATACCAAAAAATACCGAGTTTTTTTAGAAAAAACTGTATTTTTTAGTATTACTCGGTATTGCTCGTTATTTTGTCTTCACATAATGATATTTCTCGTTATTATTGTTATTGCTCGGTATTTCTCATTTTGTGGCTGCAATCTTAGTGCCGGCCGAATGTAGCTCTACGTACGTTCATCTGGCCAAACCAAATAAAAGTTCCCCAAAGGAAGCCTTCATCTATCACAAAAATCTAAATAACAAACTAAATGATAATTTTATTAAACAATTACCACTTAACAGCACACCACACATCACGCTTTAGGGGGAAAAAAAAACACAGCGAAGAGCATTGCGAAAAAGCATATAATTAAGCTCATAAAGCAATAAAGCGAACTAAAAAACAGAATCGGGAGGAAAAGCTATGCTCGTCTTCCCTCCCAGCATGCGGACTACTTCCTTCATGGACTTCCGGTGACCGGGCTCCTTCTGCACGCACCACAGCGCCACCATCACCATCTTCTTCAGCTCCACCTTATCCACATCCTCGCCCTCCGGCACCAGCAGCTCCAATGTCGACTCCATCAAGCACTTATAAGCCAATTCAGACAGAATGATGCAGTCATTCACGGGTTCGCCAAGGAAGCGCCTTCTGCACGTTATCAGTTCAAGCAGGAGAACTCCGAAGCTGTAGACGTCCACTTTGGGCGACACAGGCTCGCTCGCCTCCTTGCGCCATTCCGGCGCTTGGTACCACCATGTCCCCCTCTGTCTTGTGAACGTCTTTGACTGTCGCGGCCTTAGCAGCTTCGCCAGCCCGAGATCTCCAATCTTGGCCGTGTCGTCGTCTCCCACAAGCACGTTATCGGGCTTGATGTCGCTGTGGATGATAGTGGTCTCGCATCCTTCGTGTAGGTACAGGATTCCTCTAGCCACATCCATGGCGATGTTGGTCCTCTGCTTCCAGCTCGGCAGAGCTTGGGTCTTATCGGACGGGAAGATGAGGGTGGCGAGCGAGCCTCGGCTCATGTACTCATAGATTAGCAACCACTTGGGCCCTTCGTGGCAGAACCCGAGCAAACGCACGACGTTGCGGTGATGCGCGCGCCC